GGGTAAGTTACACAACGACGATGAAGGTTTCGATGGGGTTGGGTGTTAACTGTTCGTCCTCCCCGCCCGAACCGGGTACGTTATGTCGTGTGAACTTTAGAGGAGAACGAACAAACCCAGTGAAAGGAAGAGGATCACATCAAAATGGATCGATAAATTGGTCACCATATTCCCGCACGAATGTCGGAATGAATCATGAATCATTGCATGAGTGGGTTCAGTCTAAGCCCTTAGTAGCCTAGTGAGTAAATTCCATTGAGGCTGAGGTTCCCTAAATAGCCACGATTAATTTGGCCAAATGCAAATGCCTACACATTTCTGACATTGAAATCCACACTTTACATGATACTTTACAACGATTCACATGACCAACGGTCAACGACATAACGTACCCGGTTCGGGCGGGGAGGACGAACAGTTAACACCCAACCCCATCGAAACCTTCATCGTCGTTGTGTAACTTACCCAGAAACTTGGAAGTGATGTGAGATGACTGTAGCTCAGGTTTTGGATGTTGGTGTTGGTGAGTTCTCCAGCGTTACTCACAAAGTACTTTTGTTTGTCTATGGAGAAATCAGTTCAATCCGACGGGACGGGTTTTCAATGGACCCGGTCCGCTCGGTGACGTGTGACGGCAGAAGAGCCGATATCACTTTGTTAGGTTCGTGATAGAATGCGATTGGGTGGATTCACTTGAAGTTACAACGGATTCTCTTGAGGTTGAAAAGGCACATGGATATAATCACTGGAATTCCAGCATGCTATTTATCGTGTTTTTAGCGTAACCGGTTTCTGTCGTCAGTTCATTTATGTTATCTCGTCTGGTAATAGAAAACAAGCATCGCAACGTTCTGTTTGCTCTTCCGGTCGCAGCTGAATACTATCAAGCAATTTTGCCGTGCACTGTTCTCTCGCGATTTCGGAATCACTGAATCATTGATATTGTCAAAGGCCCTGGTCGGAATCTCAATCTTTGCTAATTGAGATGTCTGAGAAAATTAAAAGTTGGAAGTAATAACTATAACTTGTGTAGTAGTCGGAACAAAAATTTGGCAAACAGACAGCCGCAGTCAGTCTCTTTCAGTTCGATTTGTGAGTCTTTGCGCTGGCTACTATAAAGACAGCGATGATATATTCAAGTGACGGTCGAGTGAGTGGGGTTAACACCGCTAACCATCACATGAATGAGATCGTTACGGAGCGAAACACTGCTTCTTTTGGGTTGCAACCCATTTACGTATGAGTTCAGTTCTGCAGCTGAGTGTAAAAAGTATCGTTGATTCATAAGCACCTGCATATGCAAATAGGTCAACGCAGTTATTTCAAAGATAATTTGCTGGTTAGAAGTTGCACATTTCTTAGTTCTATGACTGACCATCAAACTTAGATCACCCGATTATTTGGTCAGCTTAACGGATGTAGAAAGCCGAGTTCGAACTTACGGCTGTTTTTCTCCCTACTTCTGTGTGGTAAGCGGTGTTCCTCAGAATTGCTCCCTTTCGTTTTCTATCCGACTTTGTAATGAATATCATTCTGAAAACGGCTCTACCTTCAAGCGAGGATAGCTGCATCGATGTACTCCCAGGTTGCAAATTATTTGATCTCGAGTAAGCATCTGACATTGCAGGCTTTTCTGGATGGTTTCAGTGATAAAGTAGATTTGTTCGGCATGCATTGTGCGCCTTTAGAGTGCAAATTGTTGTCTCATGACTGGCTAGCTTCAGCTACCAACCTCACTGGGTAGCAGTAGACTTCCGTGACGTGAAATGTTTACCGAAGTAGATAGTAGATGAGGGGTAATTAGTGGAATTGGCGTGAGGGTATGAAACCCTGGTCATGGACTAAGTCGTGTTAGAACCTCGGCATCAGTGTTTATTCGGTGGGTAGGGACGCCACGTGATATAGCTGCGTCACTTGTGCATTTATTTGATCTATTAGCAACGTTACTCTCCCTGAACTCTCTGTTCTCACATCGTCACTGCATCCAAAATTCTGATTTTCTCCTCGTTCATTTATCAGTTTTTTATACTAAAATAAAATAAACACCAACACAGCCCGAAAGTGCACGGTTAATGCTTGTTTGAAAACTGAAACCCAAATGTCGAAAGGACTTGGAGCAAGAACGCTACTATGGGTGGATGAATGAGGAAGGTGCTTAAAGCACAGTGAATATGCC